AATCAAGATCTAATGTATGAGAACTATTTAAAAATAGAGGATTGCTAAGATAGCAGGGAAAACGACGAAAGCATTATTGTTTTGTGCCTAAACTTGGATTATCGTAGGCCTTCTAACAGGCCACCTACGGGATGTTAAGTACTCCACTAATGGCCCGTATCCGAGCAGTTTTTCACTTAATTGGGTTTAAGGCGACAACACACGAAACGGTGTCTTGTACTTTTACTTGTGTGAAATGTATTTTAACCTTTTATGTAGGTGTCTGTAGGAAATGGCAAGGAAACAAATAAATAGTTTGTCGAGATCCATTTAAAAGTGTCTTTTTTCAGTTGCCCTGACGTTTGTCTTGACGACATCCCACCGGCTATATGTAATGCATGTGTGAACTCCTAAAGAATAAAATGCATGTGCGACCCTTGACCTCGGCAACGAATGCTAGTCGTAAGGCACGTAGTGAATCAAGTTAAGATTAGCTTTAGGGCTTGAATTTCTGTCAGCATTAGGTTGGCATGTAGGTAGATGTTAAAAAACTCAAATGACCGATGACCTTGCCAGCGAGTTTCCTCTATTTTTGTCCTTGAAATTGCCCCACCCTTATTGCCACTGTTCCGATGGTGCACATATACATATCCATTGAGTTCAGTAGGGGATCGTAAATGCACTCTATAGGGCACTACAACGAGTTCATATGCTTCTCATAAGATTCTATGATGCATGTAGTCAACGCTTCCTAATTTATAAGCAGCAAGTACGATGCTTTATGAATTTGCATTTCACGATCTTCTAAAATCTCACAGTCGTAAAGTTTATGTATAAGCGAAGGATATCATTTTTATCGAGTATCCAATTGGAAGACGCAATTTGCCACCAAATGAGTAGAAGAAAGTGTATTTTTGTGCAAAGACCTTTTAGCGAATTTTTGCTCACGTTTAAAAAAACGACTTGTATCTAATCCATGTAGGACTGTAAGACATACGCAGCACTGATCATGACATCTGCCACTAAAGCCATATCACGGCGCATCACCGTAAGTGTATGATGAGACCACACATACTGCCAGTGTATCAAATCACTCTTCTGTAAACGACACACCAGCTAAGAATTGGCAATTTGACTTGCATGGAAGGGCCTGCAGGTGGATTGGTCTACAAATCTGTGAAACGCCTCCTAGTTTTGTATCGCTTTCACGTTTGTGAGAACTTTATAAAGAGCAATGACCACCTGTAAACGTATAAAATTTGGTAGTCTGCTTTCTACTATGAAGTATACGTAGGCTGGGTTTTAAAATTGCCTATAGGTTAATATGATCCAAAAATATTTCAGCCGAACCACGAAGTCCGGTCTCGAACTTGCGGACTGATTTTGATGCCCCTAAAACTAGTAATATATCTTATAGAAAACGTACATAACAAACCTCTTTGTTGTACTTATGTGGTACAAAAGTGTTTCTATAAATGTAATCCTTGAAGAAAAATTAACTTCGGACCTGAACGGTTTGGCAATAATTTATTTTTAAGAGCGTGGCATGAACATTCATAGAGTTGGCCGTTTTGGCAATGCTAACTACGACGTATACAGCATGGTACACATTTATCGCACAATTCTAGGAGCATGGTATGAAATGTTTGATACACCTAATAAGAAACTAATACCGTATGTAGATTTAAAGACCTGAATGAAATTTTAACTGAAGGTCGTTGCAAAATTATGCGACCAACTGGGTAAAACCAATGGGACTGTTCATAATTATTCAGCAGTTATTTGTACCGGGTATCTTTTCCCTGATGGTGGACAAAGAAGCGCATTTGAAAGCCGGCGTCCTAAAACAACTGGGAAGTCGTAAAATTACTTTGCACGATAATACGTTTTAGAAAGTCAACCTAATGTTGGATATCAGTTCATAACACTCGATTTTCTGTAAGAATTTGCTAACTTATTATTCAGTCCAAACACATTATGGGCTGTTTCACGACTGAAGATCTTAAAGGATCTAGTCCATACATGTGTTTACTAGAGGATCACTATGCTATATTTAAATAAGGTTGGGTAAAAACCTGCCTATATTTGGGTAGCACATTTTTTTTTCTCGTAAGGTCGTTTATTTTGCTCAAGTTACTTAACTTTTTCCCGTAGTGACCGCTAAGGTATTTTACCTTGTTAATCAATCTCATCAATATGAAGGCACGGTTTCCTGTGTTTGAACAAAAGTTCATTGGGCGTAGGTGATGGCAACACCATTTTAGTGTATTGGCATTGTGTTTTTATGAACACATACTTTTGTTTACGGTCAATGAATGCCAGTTTGAAAATGCGCGCTTTACCTTCAGGTCTCCGACACGGTCGTTGAACCCTACAACGCCACTCTTTCCGTCCACCAACTCGTCGAAAATACAGACGAGACCTTCTGCATTGACAATGAGGCCCTCTACGACATCTGCTTCCGAACGCTGAAGCTACCCAACCCGAGCTACGGTGACCTGAATCAACTGGTTAGCCTTACCATGTCCGGTGTGACCACCTGCCTGCGTTTTCCTGGCCAGTTGAATTCCGATCTGCGCAAGCTGGCAGTCAATATGGTGCCCTTCCCGCGGCTGCACTTCTTTGTGCCGGGATTTGCCCCACTCTCGAGTCGTGCCTCGAAGTCCT